GGCCTGAACTTCAGGTCGAAACGTCGGCTTATGTAAAAAATAAATATTATAATTTATTTTTGCCTTCCTTTTTGACTGAGCACCCCAACTATTCTTCTCTTCATTATCCACGACAGTCAACCAATTACCAATTATTATTACAAAGTACGTTATAACGAATCATCCATTACATAGGTGCCTTTTAATAAATACTTGGAATATTTATTAAATATCCCTGAGGCTGGCTGAGCCAAAATGCCAATATTGGTAGACTTTAATGATACAATCGCACTTGAACAGTGTTTTGAAATCAATAGGTTATGTCATGAGAAGATGCTCGAAATATTCGAATGGCACTTGAGAATGAGTGCAAGGCAACTATGAGATGTGATCGATGTAAAATGATAACCATTCTCGTCTCACTTATCAAAATGACCTTATATAACATCTATTCAGCTTTAAGTTTTATATTATTACTTATATAATATATTTTGAAAGATGAATGCGCATTTTTATTATGGATAGTATAAATCATTTCTTCTAAATAATTTTCGAGTTTAAAAAACTGCAAATTATTACACAATGGTTTATTATTTCCAAATAATTATATATCAAAAGTAGCATTACTTTCCTTGTATCATAATAAATAAAAATAAATAAACCGTCATTTCTTTTTATTTCATCATAAGTAATTTTTAAACAAACACATTGGTTGATGTAACTCTTTCAGGATATTAAAGACCAAAACAAAGGAAATACGTTCTACAGTAAAACATATGAAAAATATTTAAAAAACATATCTTTGCACCAAACGGTCCGATTTTTTTTTTTATATTTTAGGATAGTTAAAGTTTTAAATTAAAGGATAGTTATCTTTAACTAACAAACTAACCCTTTGTAAAGTTTTACTTAAACCTATTTGGACTTACGGCATAGAACTGTGGGGTTCTGCTAAAACTTCTAACATTAAAAAAGTTCAGTCCTTTCAGTCAAAAATGTTGCGAAGGATAGTTGACGCACCGTTTTATGTCGCAAATGATACGCTACATAAAGACTTAAACGTACCTACAATTTTAGATACGGCAAAAGAGAAATACAATAACTTTGACCAAAGATTGACGTACAGCATGAATCCCCTGACAGAAATTCTTCATCGTACAAGAAACCCGTACAGCCCACTGCGACGATTACGTGGGCGTTGGCCAAGAGACCTGCTGATCTGATTTATATCCCGGACGTCATGGGAAGCTGTGAAGCTACCAAAAAATTTGCTCATTGCAAAGAAATTTGCAGATTGCAAATTTAATCAAATGTTCTACATTTTTGTTTCGTTAATAAATAAAATATTTTAGGAAACTTCTAAATGACCATAACAACATCAACAAAAAATGTATATTTTTTGAGTTTTTCGGAAATCTAATTTTACGACCTCTAGTAACATTTTTTCCAGCTTATTTTTGTTGAAGTATGTTATATAGATAATGTTTAAGGGTTTCGAAAGAGAAAACTTTATCTAAATTTTATTGAAATACAAAAGACACCTATACGACACTGGTCTTTCGGTCGCCATCTTGAAAGGGAATTAATTTTCGGTGAATTATCTTCTGTACACATATTTAAAGGACATGGAGGAAAAGACTTTAGCCAAGTTTTATCGAAATCGATCCATTCATTTAGGCACTATAGTCTATAGCAGCACAGGTTTTTCAGTCGCCATTTTGAAAGTAAAGGGCGGATAATAATGTCGAGGTAGCAGGATCATCCTCTGGGGACCTCTGAATTTGATTCCAAATTAGAAAAAAATCAGTTAAAACTTTTAAAATATGAAAAATGTAATATATAATCATTTTTATTGATACTTTTTGACCTAAAAAGTGGCCTAGTCAAATTTCAAAGTTCGTTTAAACTCTCTTAATAGGGTACTGAACAGAGAGGTTTGTGCGAGCATGCCTCACTAGCGGATCCAGGATTTAATTTTGGGGGGGGGAGGGCTTCAGCTCGAAACCTTTTTTTTTTCATAAAAATAACGATAATTACTTTGGAAAACAGAAAGAAACTAACTACCTATATGAAATGGTGTTTAAGTTATTCCTTAAGTACTTTTAAATGTAATTACACGACAATAACACTTTAAGAAGGTTTTTTTTTTTTTTTTTTTTTTTTTTTTTTTTTTTTTCTTTACCTCGCCTTTTAGGCTATACGGAATTTTCCTGGGCCAGAGGGTGAGGGCGGGGAATTTTAAAATCCCCTCCGGCACCGGGATGCGAACTCATACTTTTCTAAACTCCTCAAATCTTTTATCCGGGTTGCCAGGCAACTCGCGGTGCAGTGCACACGCTATAGCCCATTCGGCCACCCGCCCCACTTTAAGAGGTATTTTTTAAAAAAATTTTCCCATAAAACATGGTTATATATTTTTTTGGGGGGGGGGAGGGAGGGGCTTCAGCCCGAAAGCTCCCCCTCCCCCCGTAGATCCGCCCGTGGTACCAACGATTGACAAATAATTACTTATTACTTTATTTATAGCCTAAATCAATGGCTGTGTGCGTTATCGCTTAAGACTATTTTTGATAATTCAGTTAATTATCTTTATTTTTTTCTGAATTAATTTAAGAAGGAGATGATCCGAGGTGGCGGTCATAAATAGACTAAATAGTGGCAAAACTATTTTATTATTTATCACTATTTAGTATATTTATGACCGCTACCCCAGACCATCTTCTTCCTTAATAATAAAATGGTCAACTATTAAGTATTCAAAATGAATTAAGTTAGGTTCAACCAATTTGATGTTGGTTACAATTGAATTTAAAAATAGGCTTTGATCAATTCTTTGAAATACATAAATAACGCTTGCATAGCCTATGATGTACCCTATCCGGTATACCGCCACTACAATTTTTACTTTCACTTACCTATATATGTAATATATAATAAGGGTAAGTATTGTGATCGTGAAAATTTTAAAGCCTAAGTTTTCAACGGAAATACACGTTTTGAGGTACCTTGAGTCCAAATATCGAAGTCCAGAAAAAAAAAAAAGATATGTGTGTATGTGAACACCCTAGCTCGAAAACGAAAAGTCGTACGAAACTTTTTTTTTTCGAAAATTTTTCTCAAAAACGGATCTAACGATTTTGATTAAACTCGTTGTATCACTGTATAATTAAGTGGTCTTTAATACCAATCAGATCTTATCTCCATTGATGCCACTTTAATTTACTTAAATGTCCAATGTTCATATACGGCTTTCTCTAAAGTACGTTTAACACGATTTATTTTAAATAATTAATCATCTAACATTATTAAGAGTTATGAAAAAATGCTATATATAAGTTTTGAAAGAATTTGATAATTGAATAAAGGAGAAAAAAAAAATGCTTATCCAGGTCAAAAATGAATCTCCGGAAATAGTACTCGGAAGGATAATATATAATATATCGTTGGAAAACGTAGAATTTTAGAAAAAACGATATCTAATATAGAAAGTTGTAGAAGGTAACGGAGAGTGGCAAAAAAATTATAAATAATAATTTTTGAAAACTAATATTATTTAACATAAATCACATGTTTTCAAGGAAATTAAATGAAATTTATACTATACGAAAATTCATAACTGTCCTTAAATAACTCCTAAGAATCCGTGTTTCGATTCCTTAAAAACCAGACAGCACCCCTTGTTACCTCTCTCGTTTTCCCCCATTTCAGCCACAGTTGCGTGGTGTATGGAGGGGTGTCTGAAAGACTGGAGGTGGAATTGAAGGAACTTGTGAACTGTTTCATATTTGGAATTCCCAGGCGTTCTCTTGTTTCCTACTGGTATACCGAGTTGAAGTGGCTTTATCCTACATTCCGATTATAATTCCTTCTTTGTATTTTCCTTTTCCAAGTCCTTAGAACCAAAAATCCTCACTATATCATGGAACTCCTAACTACGTTTCTCTATCCATTCACTTAATACCAGATCTCAACCTATTCATTTATATATCCCTTCTCATAAAACTGCTTCCTTTGGCAAATCCTTTATCATTTATGCTTCCTTCTTCTGGATTTATTTACCTATTACCATATGACAATCCTCATCCATAAATTCCTTCAAACAACTCATATTCCACCACCTACTTCATTTTCAAACTTACATACCTATGTAATATTGGATTCTGTAATTACAACTTCTTATTAACAATTAATCAACAAGTTCCATTTGATTTTTTTTTATATGCCTTACATTTTACATGTAAACCATATAAAATGTACTGGTGTTACTTAGTTTACTGTATTGTTCAAGTATGATTGCATTAGCAATTGAAATTAACATTCAAATGACAAGAACCTCTTAGTATTTTGTCAAGCCAGACTAATGGGCCAATGTTTTGTACAATCTTATTATATTCTTAGGGAACTTAAGTCCCAAAATAATATTATTTTTTCATTTCATTCATACGTTGTGCCTTATTGCCAATTTATATTATTATATAATTATAATTATTCTTATTGCAAATTTGTAACCATAATATATATTCAACTTTTCCAGCTTCATATAAGCCCAACAATAATTAAACCCTTTTATTTCTAATATTTTCCTTATTATATTGTGCTTCCTTTTCTATTTCATAACAATTTAATTATATCACAATATGTTATAGATAATATTGTATATAATATGTTAATCAATATATTGTAGTCAAGCCGAAATGTCTAGATCGAAAAATAACTGCTGTCACCTAGGGGAAATCAAACTAACACCTTCAGATGAATAAAAACCATTCCCATTCAAATTTTTAGTCTAAAATTTTTATTTTGTATTAGGAGAGTATTAGGTATCAGGAGCTCAACACATAGGTAATTAAATGATTAGTGTTAATTAGTGTCAATTATAGAACTAATAGGAGAATTCCTGTTACCTCCTACTTTCTTAATTCTAAAATAAAATAAAATATGACATACACTAAAATATTTTTTATGTAATAGAGATTAATAGTTTATTGCACGTTTTAACATTTGATTGTATTGGTTGGCAGGTATTGATCAAAGACTTCTCAACATTCTACAATAGATCGTTGAATCCAGACCCAAAGATCAGCCCCCTCAACAAGAATCTCCTGACCCTCCAGGATGCCCAGTGGAAGAACCTCAGATCTAAGCTGACTCCGGCCTTCAGTTCTGGCAAGCTCAAGGTCATTCATCAGGAACTCATCCAATGCTGCGAGGAACTGACCAAGCATTTGTCTTCTTATGCCGATACAGGAGAGCCCCTGGAAACAAAGAAGACATTGTCGAGGTTCATCGTCTACGCTATAGGGTCAATCGCCTTTGGTCTGAAGCTGGACACTCTCAATGACCCTAACTGCGAGTTCGGGAAGGTAGCGGATTCAGTCTTCAAGATGACTTTCTTGAAGAGCCTTCTGGGGTTCTTGAGGATGGGTTTCCCTTCTCTTGGAAGACTGGTGGATGCTGTCGGTAGATTATTTGGAAAAGATGGATCTGATAATGTAATCTAATAATACCTCAAACACTAATTAAAAAAAAAAATCTACGCACTATCATAGAATATCTTTGCTTGTTTCAGGAATCTAAAATCTTTATCATGAACGTAGTAAAAGATACTGTCGAATACAGAGAAAAAAATAACATTCAAAGGAATGATTTCCTTCAAATCATGATGGAGCTGAGAAAACAAGATGCAAACAGTAAGGATGAAAGTAAGTCGTGTCTAAAATATTTTCAAAATGTTGTTTGTATTTATACTGTAATTTGTAGCAACAAAAAAATCAATTATAGTTAAATTTACCTATTTACCTATTAAGTTATTGAAGTATATTTCTATTTCCACATCACCATCCTAGATGTATGCATTTATGTAGTGCTATGGCAAACTTACGTTTCTGTAACTATGGCAGATGCTCGTTTCCAATAATGACTTGGTGATGGTTTCTTGGTACTAAGAATTTTCAATACGTTTCTGAAGATGATATTAAACATTGATAGATATTTTATCTATTTACTTCTACTTAAATATTATTTTGTTTTCAGTGAAATTCGATTTGGAGCTGATGGGCGCCAATGCCTTCGTGTTCCTGCTGGCTGGCTACGACACCGCGGCAGGTACGATGAGCTTTGTGCTCTACGAACTGGCTGCTCACCAAGAGATACAAGAAAGGCTCCTGGAAGAAATTGTGGAAGTGCTTAAAAGGTACTCAGGAGACCTGACCTATGAGGCAGTAAAGGAGATGAAGTATCTGGATCAAATTTTGTCAGGTTTGTTGCTTTATATATGGGGCCGGAGTAGCCGTAAGGGCTAAAGTGCTTGCAATAGGTAATCAAAGTTAAGTAAGAAAGACATAAACATATATGCTTATTTATAAACGAGTTTATGTCTTCCTGACCTTTTTGCATAACTTCACCATTCATACGATCGCCATAAAACTTAGGGAAGTTGTTGAGAAGAAAAATTGTGGCAACAAGAATCTAAGGAGTAATTGAAAATAACAGTTGAGATTTTCAAATATGCTTAAGGTTTCATCAGAGATCCCAGAGATGGAAGGGGTGAATTCATCTTTCTACAAGATAGCCGATTAATTTTTTTCCCAATATGTTATTGCAATTTCATGTACTTTCTTGCTGGGAATGTGTAAAAAATTTTTGTTCATTTTTTTTAATTTTCCATTTTGAATTTTTTCTGTTTGAATTATATATTTATAGATATAGAAATTATGACTGTTAATTTTTTATAGCTAAAAAATTATATTTTTAAAAATTAGGTAATGATAAATTATGGATAAATTTGAATCATGAAATGATTTCCATTGAAAAAAAGTTAATTTTGCTGAACTACTTTTCAATTAGAGACTGTCCGGTTTCCGCCTTTAAATTTAGTCTTTACTGAAAAGTTGAAAAATTGACATAGCAAATGTTTAACTTTTAACGGAAAGAATTGAAAAAGGAAGAAAATGAGCAAACCGAGATATTTAAATTACAATCAATATATAAACAAAAAAACCTAAACCCCTCCAAGCTATCTGCGCTCCCCCAAAAAATATATGTCTGTAGAGAAACCACATCTCGCGGCCAAAGACCTTCATAGTCTGTAGCGCCCACAGAAAAAAAAAAATGTATTCATATTATATGTTATATATTAGTCCCTGGTACTGACCCCAATTTATCAAATTATTTTCCTAAAACTTCGTGGATAGTTTTATCTCATCATAATCTACAAGTATTTAATTTACCATAATTCTCGGATTTAGGGCGTTTTCAATCTAGAGATTGGCAAACTTTCTCTATTTATTTAAGTACTAAAAGCTTATGAATAACGATTTGCTTTCTACTTGAATTGTAAGATAATTTGAACACAAAATCGATAAAACAAGATGGCCTGCAAAAATATTGAGCCGTTTGGCATGACCTCCACCCCTTCCCTTCCCCTTACATGTCAAAATAATGAGGTTATGCAGACCTAAAGTCCGAATATTTCTGTAGGCTACTTTTTTTTTCTTTTCAAATTTATGATCAAATTATCTTACAATTCAAGTGGAAAGCAAATGGGTATTTATGAGTTTATAGTACCTCATTAAATTAATTGATTTAATGAGAAAACGTCCCATGTCTCAGAATATTTGTAGAAAAAAATTTGCAAGTTACAGTAAAGGCATTCACGAAGTTTTAGGCTGATGTTAATAATTTGATACAAAGAGATCTCGTACCATGGACTGTAAATATTGATTCTGAATAAGTTTTGTGATATTTTCAGAAACATTGAGGCTGTTCCCTCCAATACCGTCGACTTTTCGTGTCTCGAGGAGTCCATACCAAATACCTGGTACCTCTTTGCTTCTTCCAGCTGGATCTACCGTTACCGTTCCCATATACAGTCTGCATCATGATGCTAAATACTTTCCGGATCCCGAGAAGTTTGATCCTGACAGATTCGCTGAAGATTCTAAGATTGTAAAAGGGACATATCTTCCGTTTGGTGATGGCCCAAGAATTTGCATTGGTAAGAGAATATGTTTGATTTTTTTTTTATTAATTATTTGAAAACGTAATAAGCAAAATAATCTGAACTCGTAAGTGGTTATATTATCTTGTTTATTTATCTTTTTCTTGACTGCTTATCTATTAGATAAGAATATCCCTTATCTAACTTCTATTCAGCCTTCTTAACTTTATTATAGACTCATTTATAATGTTAAAACTTCAGATTAATGATATTCAGGTTTCATATCAGATCTGATTGTATATAGTATTGTCCTACTTTGGAAGGTTATAAACGTGACTACTCTAGAATAGTCCCTATATTCTTATCATAGGCGCTGACTTTCCATTTTGGTTGGAATTTGGGAGGTTGGAAAAAAATAAATTATAGGATTGTTTATACAATACAATTGTAAGATTTGTTTATGTGCATATGGATATACTTGAAAATACCTGAACAAACCATTTAGATATATCGTAGACAATTTATAAGAAATTCACATGAAAATGGAGATGTACACATGAGAGGTGAATTATTATTCTGAATATAAATAATAGAAATATTTAGGCTGTGATAAAATAGTTATGTACCTATTCGGTTGTTCAGAAAATAATGCAGGATTTTTGTTTAAAAAGAAAAAAGAATGATTTACAACTGTTTTATTCAATAAAAATTGTCTCCACTACTATCAATAAATTTCTGCCAATGTGTTGGCAACTTTTCCATTCCCTCAGAATAGAATTTCCCATCTTTAGAATCGATAAACTCAAAAAACGCATTTTCTAATTCCCTTAGTCCATTAAGTTTTTTTTATTTATTCATCTAGCTTATTCGTTATTAATTAAACTTTTTTTTTACTTCAAATTATTGGGAGAGCGAAACAATATCCTCACCGATGCAACATTTTTATTAGGGAGAGGGGGATCGTCCCTCCCCCTCTCCCCCGAAATGTGCGTCTATGATTCTAATTGATTTTTGGTCTTTAGTTCACATTTCAAAATCGATTATTATCACTATCAAATGAACCAATTCAATATTACTAAATTCAGACCATTTGAATTATGAATATCAACATAGAATAAATTTATTCATAAGGATTATATTTATAAGCTTTAAAATCATAGATTGAAACATAAATGGATTTACTTTAATTTAAGTTGGTAACTAACTTTTTCTTGATATATATATATATATTTTCTTCTTTTTTTTTTCAGCTCAAAGATTTGCAAAACTAGAAATAAAGCTTGCAGTTATAAAAATGCTACTTGAATATAAATTCACTGTTAACGAAAAGACTAAAACACCATTCACTTTCGACAGAGCTTTCTTCCTCAACCCTACTGGAGGCATTTGGCTGAACTTGTCGAGAAGAACATGATTTAACTTTACCGTTAATGTTCATCTTTATAAATATCTGTAAATAAATATATATTTAATACTAATTATATTGTTAACTTGTATTGGAGTAAAATATTTTGGTGAAATCCATCATCCACTGGTAAAAGTCAATTTCATCCATGGCTGTATCTTTAGGCTGCCTTAATTGAACATTGAACATTGAACATGCTGAACATTTCCCTTGCTTACAGTATGCAGCTCCAATTTTTAATTTCTGAGATATTTAAATCCATATCTTTAAGCAAACTCGTTATTGTTTGGTTTGTGACACTTTTGCACACTGTTCCCCCTTTTTGCCTAACTAACCCGGCGTCGCATTAAGTTGCTGAATATTTCTTTCCCTCAGGGGTGACCATCCCCCCCCCCCCAAGGTCGATGGCACAAGAACCTACTCCCTTCCCCCACCCAAGATATTTTATTGCTCATCTTTTCCTAAAAACAGAACAAGATAAGGTAGAATTAGAGAAATCGTAGATTTTTTTTTTTGGTTCTTCCCTGCCTCGCCTTTTCGGCTATACAGGGTTTTACTGGGTCGGAGGGTGAGGGCAGGGAATTTAAATTCCCCTCCAGCGCCGGGATGTGAACTCATACTTTATTAATCTTCTTAAATCTCTTATCCGTTTGCCAGGTAACTCGCGGTGCAGTGCACACGCTTTAGCCTATTCGGCCACCCCACCCCCTGAAAATCGTAGATCATATACAATTACACTTGCTGCGGTATGTTCCATGTTTTTCCCTTGTCCCTTACTCCGAAAATTCACAACTCTGTCGAAATTTGCCCCTCTCAAAAATTCAAAAAACCTTCAAAATATGTCCTCCCTGTCAAAAATTTTGATGGCACAATTTGTGCCATGAAACCCCCTTCTGGGCATCCTTGCCCGCGCTTACAGTATGCAAATCGGATTTTTAGTTCCTGTGATATGAAAAAACACTTCAATTAGTCGACTTTACCCGAATGAGCCTTACACATCTGATCCTGACGGCTCAGTTTCATTCACTCCTCACAAAAAAGTGCAAAACGTGCCTAAAGAAGTTTTTACTTCAAATTAAACTTATATATTTTTTAGTATAATATTTCTGTTCACTAAGAAAAACCTTTTGTGTATAAGTATTTAACCTAACAGCTACTATGGTGTCGGTGAAGGTCATTAGTAATATACCAGTGGGAACTCATTCGGATGCGGGAGGCCTCTAACCAATTTCTGAATTAGTAATTGATAGAAGGGCTCTGAATAGATGATGTTTAAGGCTAAATAAGGACTAGTATTTAAAATGACTTGTAATTTTATTTTTTTCAACAAAAAAAAAATGTTGGTCTTTTATTTTTTTCCTACTCTCCTTTATAATTCTATATGTACCAATTCAGGGGTGCTTAGAACGGGTGCTTGCAGAATGCCCACGCCATGGTGTGGAAATAGTTCTGGCTGACCTTTATGCACAGGCCGGAAGAGAGCCCGTTCTTTTGCAATTGTATTCTACATCCAGAATCTAATGATAATGGTTCAAGGCTGGTGGATTTTGTCGCATCTCAATATATGATTATTGGCAGCACTATGTTTGACCGTAAAAACATCTATAAAGCCACGTGGGTTACCCCAGACAACAACACTATTACCACAAGTGGGTTATTATACAGACAATAACCCAAATTGACCAATACTCTGGTTAGTCGGAGACAAAGGTCCAGTCTTATGGGAGTAAGAACACTCAGAGGAGCGAATGTTGACAGTGATCACTACCTGCTCGTACCATGAATGAGCCAAAATGAGTAATGGGGCTCGAATACGGGCATAAAACTAAAGGGGCTGAATGGAAAGGATTAATACTCGGAAACTACGTGAACCAGAGTGTAACGAAGAATCCACCTAGAGACTTGATTAGGCTTTAGAAGGGAGCCCTTATGAAGATACAGTGAATGGAAGATGGAATCACTGCAAAGTTGCCATCAAACAAACTGCAGGAGAGGTTCTGGGTTGAAGGAAGCCCACCAAAGATCTGAATGGTTTGACTCGGAGTGCCAGACAGCGACAGACAGGAAAAACGAAGCTTATAAGATAATGATAGAGAGTCACAGAACTCTCCAAGCAGTTAAGGAATATAAAGACAGAAGTCAAGAAGATAAATGCTTTCATAGAAGAAAAAAATAAAGGAAATTGAACAAAGGAGTTGGGCGGATGTAAGAGCCTTTTACAAGAGTGCAAGTGTGTAGCATAAAGAATTTGAGTCTAGATTCAATGCTTACCGAGGAGAGGATGGATCATTAATTACAAGTGAAGATACCATTCTTGGCAGATGGGTCACCCACTTTTTAAGTATTTTGGGGATCCCACGGTGAATAGTATAATTCCTGTTCTATGCAATGGCTTTGAGTTAACAGATCCACCAGATGACGAGGAAATCTATGACTCCATCCAAAAACTTAAGAACGATAGAGCCTCAGGATCTGAGACTAATCAAAGTTATCCGTGATCTTCATACTATTTGGTTAACTAAGATCATGCCTGAAGAATGGTACACCGGCATCATAATCTCTCTCCATAAAAAGGAAGATCAAGCCAACTGCAATAATTACCATGGCATAACTCTCCTCAATTGCACATATAAGGTGTTATCTAATGCCATCTATCAGAGGCTAATGTTGCATGCAGAAAGAGAGGTGGGAATCCATCAATGTGGTTTCATGAGAGGAAGATCTATCACTGTTCAAATCTTTGCCTTAAGGACTCTGCTTGAAAGAACAAGAGAATATAATATCATCACACTTCACCTTTTCATAGATTTTAGTAGTGCATATGAAAGTCTCATCTGAGAGAGGTTGTACCAGGTTATGGAAACTATTAATATTCCCCTTGAATTGATCCATCTTACAGAGCTGCTGATGATGGGATCAAGGTGTCAAGTCAGAATACAAGGAGACCTGTCAGAGGCATTCACGACCACAACAGGCCTAAGACAAGGAGATGGCTTATCATGCCTGCTAGGTAATAAGGGTATGTAGACAATTTAGTAATGCTTTATATAATCTTGGGAATAACCAAGGGAAAAGTGTGTATTTTTTTAGTTATTCGCAAATAAAGTTTGTTTTCTTTCATAACTTGTTTGCCTGAATTTTCGGGGTGAATGGACTATTTTGCCCGCCTGAAGGAGAAGGAAGCCTTCAAAATTGGTGGCTCAATCTTGAGATTTGGTGAAAAATTAACGATGATCTGGCTTGTCGATCAAAACACCATCGATAAATAATATAAGCTCCTCCTCTCTCGCTCATAGAGACCTCAAGTCGTCGAAATGAGACATGTATTCAATGACAGTACTACAATTGATGTAAGATTATGTGGATGCGAACCCTATGCCTTGCGTTATCTCGAAAATAGTACGTTTTTGGCTTAAAAACGCAGGATCCGATAGTTCCGGTGGTATCGACTTTATTTATTTTAGAAAGAAAAACATAAGTGGAGAATACGATTCGCTAACCCCCCGAGAAATTCTGAATCGAACGGTACCCCATTCATGGTATTTGAGCTTATATTTGGTACAAAACCGATTTCGAGCTTTACTGTAATAATATATGTGGGGATATAAATTAGAATAATATTGCTTGAATAACAAAGCAGAGAAATTCTCTGTTTTAAAAGTGACTGAATACATACATATGTGTAAACATCCTCTTCAAATGAACACACACGTTACTATAAATACAGGCAACAACATTTTATTAGACTCTGTTAATAATTTAGACATTCATGATAACTTTACTTAAAAAAGTAGAAACCAATTATTAATAATGACAACTTTATGGAGAATAATTACTCTAAAATGCGTAGAGCCACATTGTGGGATTGCGGGTAATGAAGCCGATTTTACCTTGCAAAAGAAGCAGCTATATATTTTATATATATATATATATATATATATATATATATATATATATATATATATATATATATATATATATATATATATATATATATATATATATATATATATATATATATAAACAATCACAGTATTAAAAAGGAATATAGTAGTAGTCTAATCAAAGTATACATAATTACAATTCATTCGTCTATAAAGCAACAAAATTGAAATATAACTTATAAATATAAATAATAAATATATTATAAATATAAGTTTATATATATATATATATATTTATAGTTTTTATATATATAAGTTTATATATATATATATATATTTATATATATATATATATATATATATATATATATAAACAATCACAGTATTAAAAAGGAATATAGTAGTAGTCTAATCAAAGTATACATAATTACAATTCATTCGTCTATAAAGCAACAAAATTGAAATATAACTTATAAATATAAATAATATCATAGTTGTTAAACAAATCCATCCTATATAAATAATAATGCAATTTTATATCATATCAGTGTCGGCTTTAGAGTGGGACAACCCGTGGCAATAGCCATGAGGCGTCGGCCAATCTTAAGAGAAAGATACTAACTATACACTAGCGGATCTAAAATTTAATTTTAGGGGGGGGCTTCAGCCCGAAAGATTTTTTTTCGTCATATACGTATAACGATAATTAATTTGAAAAAAAGAAAGAAATTAACTACATATATGAAATGATGTTTACGTGGTTCCTGAAGTTTTATTAAATGTAATTACAGGAACAAGAATACTTTAAGAGATAGTTTTTAATATTTTTTTTCTGTAAAACGGTCATATTTTACCATTTTGGGGGGAGGGGGGAGGGAGCTTCAGCCCGAAAGCCTCCCCCCCCCGTTGTTCCGCCTGTGTAACTATATGAAATGTTGTTTATGCTATTCTTGAAATCCTATTAAAAGTAATTACACGAACAATAATACTTATTTTTTTTCCATAAAACATGGTTACAATTTACGATTTGGGGGAAGGAGAAGGCTTTATCCCGAAAGGCTCCCTCCGTAGATCCGCCTGTCCTACTTGTTAAAGATAAAACAATACAAAACGTATTAAAATAATTAATTTTGGCCTATTTATAAAGGAACAGCATTATAGAAATATTGAATGAAATAATATTAGAATACTGCATAATATAAGACAGCTCAAGAAATAAATTATTTTTTGGTGGATAGGAGGAGGGGGTCATTGCCCAGGGGGCACCAGCGGATCCAGGATTTAATTTGGGAGGGAGGGCTTCAACCCCAAAGATTTTTTTTTCAAATATATAACGATAATTAATTTGAAAAAAATAAAGAAAGAAATTAACTACCTATATGAAATAGTGTTTAAGTGATTTTTGAAGTCCTATTAAATGTAAACGAACACTTTAAGAGATAGTTTTTAATATTTTTTCCTATAAAACATGATTATATTTTACCGTTCAGCCCGAAAGACCCCCCCCCCCCCGTAGCATGTGCCGAATGCCTAAGGCTGGCACTGGTCTAAACTCACTTTTAGTTCCGGCTCTAGTTAGAAGCTCAAGAGCATTTGCATTTGGCAACCCTGCTTGACTTTCTGTGATTCACAGCTGCAAGTGGCCGCATGCTGTAGGATATAAGTTGATTTAGTTGTTCACTTCGTCATTGTTTGCTTAGTTGGTGGTTAAACTTCTCCATAACTATTGAAGTTCTAATTAGAATACTTTAATAATTGGTAAGTAGAATTAATTGTTTTTATCCAATCAGTAATCATGATTTTAATATTAATGATTTTGTAGAAATTTTATAGTAACTATTAATTGTTTTATTTAGATATTACTAATAGTTGTGTAAGGTAACATACACATTTTTTATTTTCATTGTTTAATATATTTTAGAAAAGATTATTTGCATGGTTACATTTTAAATGTACTTCTAATTGTAATGTTGTAATTGAACCAGTGGTACTACCAAGAGTCTTGATCAATTTTGTAATAACTTTTTTTTTTACTTCATTTACTTTAGGTGGATGGTAAAAAAATAAAAAATGTATCAAATAGTAATGTGGCTCCATTTTTCTTTTTTTATTTCACAACAGTTGCAATCATAATTTTCAAGTAATTTATATAATCCCTTCACATTAATTCTATTCAAACACAATATTGCATCGGCATTATCCTTATTTCTTAGCTTAAAGTATGTTTATGTTTAGTGACTGAATAAAATATTTGGTACTTTTTACCAATTGTTACTCTATTACCTATTTGATGGGTAGGCTCAAGATCACATAATCACACTGTAAATGAAATTCTGGTAATGGCTTAGTACTGATCTTCTTTATATGAGTATAACCTCCCTTTATTTAAATATTGATTTAAAACTCCTGTAAACCCACTACTGTTCCTTTCAGTTGAGGTAAGAGCCATACCAGATGGTTCCGTCATTTCTTGTTTCTTTCTGACACACTCTGTCATTTTTGGAGTGTGATCGCATCTCCAGTGTGATCATGAGATCCTGTGCTTACCCATCCTGGTGGTGTCATTTTAAACTGCAGACATGGTTTGTTATTTAAATCACGGGCATATCTATGGGGGGGGGAGGGCTTTCGGGCTGAAGCCCCCCCCAAAATGGGAAAATATTACCATGTTTTATCGAAAAAAATATTAAAAAATTACCTCTTAAATTATTATTGTTCATGTAATTATTCTTGGAATCAGGAACTGGTGAACTTTTGGTCAGGACAAAGAAAGCGGAGGACAACTCTTGAGGCAGCAAAGATTTATTAATGGATTCTAGAGCTCAGAATCACTAACGGATCTAGGATTTAATTTTGGGGGCTTCAGCTCAAAAGTATTTTTTTTTAATAAATATATTAGGATAATGATTTCAGAATTTCTTCAGGGCTTCAGCCCGAAGCTTCCCCTCTCCCCTCGTAGATCTGCCCATGCTCAGGATGATGAATGAATGAAAAAATAATTTTGTTCTGGAACTAAAGTCCCCTTAAAATAATAACAGAGTTAAAAAAAAAATGAGCCCTTTAGTCTGGCTTGGCAAAATACCAAGAGATACTTGTCATCTATCTGTCAGTTGTATCTGCAATTGCGATTATACAGATTATTGAATCATAGAGTATCTAAAGTAACACATGTGAATTTTATATGGTTTACATATATAAAAAATTCCAAAAAAAAAATTAAATGTTACTTATCGATTAATTGTTAATGAGCTATTGTAATTACAGAATCAAATAAATATTATATGAAAATGAAGTAGGTGGTGGAATAAGAGTTGTTTGAAGGAATTCATGGATGAGGATTGTTGTATGGAGATGCGTAAAGAACGCCAAAAGGTGGTAGTACGAATAATGAATGATTCACTGAAGGAAGTAGTGAAGTAACGATGAGTATGATAATGATACTTAGATATTAATTTTTTTAGGTGAGTATGATAACTAGTATTTGAAATGCCTATAAGTGGCAATTTTATATTCTATAGAACAAGGGGTGTGACTCCAAATATGGTCGTCCAGTGAACTTTGGTGCAGGCCAGTAGACACAGTTATCATTACAGTAGTTTAATAAAATCTTTATCCATTTTTAGTGCAATATATATATTGTCGGTTAATTGCAAAAAGTCACTAAGTAAATTTTTTATTAAGCTGAACTGACAAGAATGTTTTTGAGAATTTCGACCTTATATGTTGATTTAAAAAAAAATATAAAGTGTTCTAAAATGAAAAATCCTTTTATATTATCAAATATAGTTTAAAAAATTGCACAATTTTTTGATTTCACATAGAAGAAATTCATCAAAGTTCTTATTAATTTAAGCTTGTGATATGCCAGTTAATGACTTATTGGAATTAACTGACCATATGAACTAAATGCACTTTTGTCCAGATATCTTAATTTTAATTCTGTTATTAATTGAATATAAAATTATTAATTTTTAAAATGTCTATTCATCCAAATTGACAATTTTGACCTTAAGTATTATTGCCACAGCACCCTTGGCATAGGCGATAAGCAGTCCCAGTCCTTGCTACAAAATATAGCAGCAAGATTGATACTTCAAAATGTCTTCTCATGGCCTAGTTAGTTCATTTGAAAAGCTTGAAATGTTTGTTGGAGAAGATTCTAATGAAAATCATGGGACTCAATCTGATGCATCAAGTTCAACTAGGGACACCTTAAAGGTATATAAATATTTAAACCATTTCTTTATTACTCTTCTACTACCAATATATTTTTATTTATTAATCTTCATCATAGGAAATAATTTTTTATATTTATGGTCATCGGAAAGGAAAAGATATCACTAGATCTGTTACAGCTGACTGTGAGGGGCTGCTGATTGGTTACAAAGCATTGTCATATGAAACATTTATGAATTTAAAATTTTGTCAGTAACGAGTTTTTATAACTGAGTATCTTGTTTATTAATAATGTAATGTCGATATTATTATTAAACTGTATTAAACTATTATAATATACTTTTTTTTTAATGTATTCTAATACATTTTGGTAAAAAGTATACCTTAATGAGAAACTCTTATTAGATAGCTATCCCTCTGTCAAATTCATTCGACGCATAAGCGACATCAGCTAAACATATTATTCTTATACCTAGTCCTGTCATAAATATTATTACAAGAAAATATATACAGATTTCAACAGAAAATTATTTTTTTCAAAAACTTTATTAGAAAATAAAACATATATCTAAAGAGAGTAAAACTAAAAAGAAATTACTCAAAATGTCCCCCTTTTGCCTTGAATCAGGCATTGAATCTCCGTCGCCAATCATAAATAGCAGCATGTAGCACTTCTTAAGGAAAGCACTTAACTGCTCGGACCAGAGATTATTTTTTGAGGCTTTCCAAGTTAGGGTGGGCTCTTTAGCATGCTATCCTCTCCAGTTCGAACCAAAGCTGATAATCTACTGGGCTAAGATCAAGGTTTCCTGAGGGCCAATCCGTAGCAGAGATGAACTCTGAAATGTTCTTTTGCAGCCACTGCTGAGTTAACCTGATCTTGTGAGCTGAAGCGGAATCCTGCTGGGAAACCCAATGACTTCCAGCAAACAGAGTACCATTTAAAGGCTTGACAAAAGGTTTCAAAATATTGTCCAGATAGATTTTAGTGGATGTTTTAACTCCTTTTTCCACAAAAATGGAGCTCTGTGGTGCCATCAAAGCAAACTTCCCACCAAACTATCACTGAGGAAGGGTGATGACCTCTTTTCACTCTTTCAATGACTTCTGGGGCTTCTTTAGAGCTATGTGCGTACACACAATCATTTTGGTGATTAAATTTTAAAACTTTTCTCATTGGTGTAACGGCAAAGGAGCACTTTGTATCTATCCACTCTAATTTTTAAAAAAAAAATTAGGGATTAGCCTTTTTCTTATCATTCATTTCTTGTCAAGTACAAGAGAGAGTATCTTGCAGGGAGCTTGAGTTGAGTAGAAGAATAGTGTTACTATTTTGGGATATGTGTTTGGCAGAACATAAGAAAATTTGTGAAGACAAATGAATTCAGTGCCACAAAGGAAGAAGCATTGTATATAGAAAAAAGGTTAGCTTGCCAATTAATATTTAACTTTATTTTAAAATCAGTGTTTAAATTTAGTATAAATAGTAGAAGAAGTGAATTATAAACATATTTCATGGATGTATAAAACATATATTTATAACCTTCAATACATTTACTGTACTTTAATAATTCTAGATCTGATATTATATTTAAATAATTAAGTATTGATGTCTGTTTATTCCGAAAAATCATCATGTAACTTTTTAGAAAACTAAAATAGTGAATAATTTGATGAATTTTCCCTTTGGGAAATTCCAACATTATATTCTTAGAATTAGTGTGAAAACTTTTGACCTATCTATGGCGGGCAATGAAAATCTCATAATTTCATTTTAGTAAACTTTACAATGGAAAATAACGTTTAATAACTAATAGGCATAAAATGTATAATCATTTATAGGTTGAATATATAGACACTCTTTTAAATCTCTCGAGGCGTATACATAGATATAGAGCTCAGAGATTGGAGTTGTGTGGTTTTTATTGGGTTTATACAAAAACAAATGGAGTACCGACGTTTTTATTGTCTACCATTGATATAACTAATAGGGTTTTTGTTATAATGGTCTTAATGATTTGTTAGCTGTAAGCTTTAAGCTGTAGCTTCATTAAAAATGCACTCCAAAAATTTTATAATAGCCCAACTTTGCCAGAAAATAATTTCTATTCAAAGTAAAACGCTAAGTGAAAGTTTTGCGCTGCACACACCAGATTTTTTAAAATTTATTTAAACAATTAAATAAATAAAGTTGGGCAACAAACAAAGACAAAGCAAAGTTAGGCAGTTAAAAATTTGTCATCTGCAAAGGTTTTGCAATAAGCAAATTGTTTATTACATATTAATTAAGTAAATCTCTAAACCACTGTCTCAAAAGTCATCCAGTGATGTACGAGTTCATGGTTGAAATACGTCCTTGGGCTAATAGCTTTGTGTTGTGTGTCTCTGGTGGAAGTTTTTATTATACTGTGTTGCAGTGTCTGAAATCGTTTGGATGTTGAAGTCTTTATGTAACAAGTCGTTTGTCATATAGAATGGTGCGTTTATTATTTTTCTCAAAACTTTTGACTGAAAAGTTCGATTTTAAGGATGTTTGAGGCTTTTGCAGTCTCCCATAGCATAGCTCTATCCCATAAGTCCATAAAGATTTTAAAAGTAGTTGGTAACTTAGTTGGTTAAAATTAAAAACAAAGTAAAATTATGATTAAAATTATCAAGTGTATTCAGAAAACTTTCTACTCTTCTGATTGAGGTTTTTAAATGCTTTAAACTATTGTAACATATCTTTTATGTTTTACAAATAATAATAATATTATAACCTTGGACGATCACTTTCTACCATTGGGATACTTCCAAAAGAAATAAGAGGTTATTAAATAATAAACAAAATTATAAGAGCATTAATTTATTAAACTAAACTTTAAAATTATTTTGTCTCAGGTATGGGTTACTGACAATCAGCTAAACTCAGGCAAACTATTATTATTTACACTATTTAGATTAAAATTAAATACTGATTTTACAATAAAGTCAAGTATGAATTGGCAATCTAGCATTTTTTCTATATACACTGTTTCTTCCTTTGTTGCACTAAATTCAGTTGTCTTCAAATGCTTTCCAATGTTCTGCCAAACACAACTTCCAAGTTGGTGACACTATCTTCTACTCAACCCAAGCTCCCTGGGAGATAGTCTCTTGTAATTCCAAACAACAACTTCCTTGCCTTTTGACTGTTGAAAATTGATTTATTAAACTCTTTTAAACCACTTCTAATAAAGGTGTACATTACACTATATCAACACAAAATGGAGCATTTTGAATAAATACATGTCTAAATCAGTAGTTTTCACAGCTAGTGGTAACAAACAAAAAACAAGCTATTGCTTTATTTAATAGTGTGATTGATGATTTATATCTTAATGAACGCATATTTGTGCTATTCATTAAATAATGAATTATCATTTATTTTAGGCTCATAATTGCAACACTGGACATGGCTCTAACTTCATTGATGATGCTGACAAAGCTTATATTGTCCTCCTTAATTTGTTTCGATTTCTTTCAACAAAGGACCTGCTCAAAGCAGCACAGGTTTGCAAAGTGTGGAATCTAGTTGGGTCTGACAAGATCTTTTGGACGAGAATAACTTTAAATAACTGTGTAGTACATGACATTGATATGATGGTACAATTCCTCAAGCAGCATGAGACTGAAATATTAGATTTGAGGGGAATGAGCTTCTTCAAGATAGAAACCGAAGATGATCGGTTTGATCTTTTTTATGAAAAGCGACTTTTTGAGGCATTATCTGGAGTCACTACTCTGACTGAAGTAACTGTGGATGTATATTCATCTCAAACAGTTACCTTGTTAGCAGAAGGAGTTCCACAACTTAAATCAATATCTGCTTATTGTGTAAATGAAGAACTGGACGAGGAATACATCATGGACATGGATATGCCATTCCTCGAAAATATGAGAAATCTTAAAACATTAAAAATAGAGAGTAGATGCTTGATAGCATTATATTTTGAAACTTTCGACAAAATAAAGCTCAACCTCACAACATTAGCTATCACTAAGGCAGTCAACTTATCCTGTATTGAACACATTCTCCCGTCTACATTAGTGTCACTAGAATTGGGGGACTGCCGTTCTTTGTCTTATTATTTCTATGAAAATGTCTTGCCCACACTTGTAAACTTAACTAGATTGAGACTGGATACGTGCACCCATACTCGTTTAATAATATCGTTATTAGTAGAAGAAGTATCTAAACTATCAAATTTAGCTGAGTTGGAACTCATCAATTTTGAAATTGATGATGAATTTGATGAGATGATAGCTAGATGCATCAATCTGAAGTCACTTATTGTAATTCCATGGTATAGAGGAATTCCTGAACATTCTCACCCGTTAATGAATTCATTAATTTTATCTGGGTTATTAAACTTAAAAAACACTATGCAAGAATATGTTGGTGTAATAACTCATCTAATGATTTTGGTTAAAATTGCATCCAGCCTGAGAATTGGACCAAATTTGGTAGAAGTTAGGGTGATGGGATGTAGTGATAGTCTTCAATTCCTTTCAAGGGGTAGTTTCGTAATAAAGTTTGATTCGTCAGATAATGCTCAATTATTGCCAAATTTGGAATTTAAAATTTTTAAATATCCTTCTTACTCATCTACATGGAAGCTTTCATTCCATAGATTAATGAAGATGAAATCTCCCATTTTCAATTAAATAATACTATTCATAATGAATAATAATGACAATCTCATGTAAAATGAAAGTTACCTTTGTTAAAAATAATTTGGAATTATTAATCCTTGTTTTATTTTATGACTTACCCTTGAAAAGATCACCTTTTTCTGGTTCTGTTTCCCAGATTACTTTCTTATACTATTTTCTACATTTATTATTACTAGTGTCTGCCTAGTGATCGAAATTCGACCATAATCATTATTGAACATTTGAGAAAAACATAAATGAATTTGTATGTTTCCAACATTTTTTCTACTTTTATAAATTCATACATTAACTTTTATATTTACTTGCACAAGAAACCAGTGCAGTACCATTTGTTTACTTTATGATTTATAGGCAATTAAAAATAATAATCCATTGTAGCATTTCTTAAACAAATATTTGAACCCACTTCCCTCACTCAGCAAAAATTTGAGGCAAAAAATTTATTTTCCGATTGCTAAGAAAATTTGCATTTCAGAGTTTTTTGTGGTGCAAATTACCAATCTCAATTTCTTTTCTCCTTCAAAAAAAGTTCGAAACCACTTTACTCCTTCAGCAGGGACAAATTATTTCATTTCAATACTACACTAACATTATAGCTGTATTTCAAACATAAATTAGTCATAATAAAACTCTTCCAAAAATTATAAACTAATTCAATTAAAAAAAAATACAAAATATCTTATTAGACATGATTCTTTTCGATGATTTTTTTCCCTATTTAGTAGCTAATTTAGAAAACTTTCTTCTCTAAATGATAGGTTTAAAATGCTATTATATCTCTGCACCAAATCATCTGATTTCGATGAATTTCTTTTTTTTTTTTTTTTTGTAGGGAATTTTGGAAGCTTTATAATAAATATGGGGTATTCTCCATCAAAAATTGTGCAATTTTTGAGTTATTCCCAAATAAAATTCTGAATTCATTGTTACAAATTATGCAGCTTGTTTTTGGGAAAGTATGTTATATAGATAAACTAGCTTTACCCGGCCACGCGCTGCTGTGGCTTATCCTGGCAAAATGAAAAAGAAAGAAAATAGAAAGCACATATGAGTAGATTAGTAGCAAAGGACATCTGTCATTTTTAAAAAGTTAGGAAACAAATTTGTCTGTAAAATGGCTTCAATTGAAACTAATTCTAATTGTTTTTTCTTCTCATGATTCAAATTGAACATTCATAATCATCTGAGTAAATACGCCGTCATTCATAATCATCAGAAACAGTCTGAGTTGAACTTATAAAACTAAATAAAAAAATTAATTTAAAAAACATATAATAGTATTGATCTACATAAGGAGAATCATATAAATTCTTCAAATGATAATTTCAATTACTGTAGTAATTATAAAATTTTCGATTAATCAATAAAAAAAATGCTTGCTGACGTTCGGTAGTGAGGAAGCAAAAGAAAACGGCCTTTTCTGAAGAGAAAGTAGTAAATGTTTAAAACTCAATAACTCTGCAACGAACCTTCCGATTTCGATGATTTTTTAAATCATTTAATATAAAAGAATTTCATAATTAACAAAAGGAGAAATAAGAGGTAGTAATAGAGAACCGAAGAAATCTCCAAGCTTACAGGAAATTTAGAAAAGGTGAAACTACTGTGGACTTTGCAATACAATAGATTTTGTATTTTATATATTTTAATTTGTTATGTCTTTCAGATCTGATTTTAATTTCTTCCTTTGAATAGGATAGGCCAATTGATATGGACATAAAACTAGGAGAATACCATTTGTTACATAGCCGTATCATGGCATTTCTGACACACAAAATAGAAAACTAAATTAGATTAGAATTGCAAGAGCTTATATATTTATTTACCATAAAATAATGAATTATCATTTCTTTTAGGCTCTAACTTACAATGCTGATCATGGCCCTTACTTCATTGATGATGCTGACAAAGCTTATATCATCCTCCTTAATGTGTTTCGATATCTTTCGATAAAGGATCTTCAGGCGGCAATGCAGGTTTGCAAAGTGTGGAACCTGGTTGGGTCCGACAAAATATTTTGGAAGAGAATAAGTTTAAATAACTGTATAGTGCATGACACTGATATGATGGTACGAACCCTCAAGAAATGTGGGACTGAAAGATTAGATTTGAGGGGAATGAGCTCCTTCAAGATGGTTAGACTACTTCCTTCTGATGATAATTGGTCAAGTCTATTAAAGGGATTGATTAATACCATAGAAATGCCAGATAAATGGTTAAGTCTTTGTGAAGCATTAACTAAAGTAACCACCCTGACTGAGGTAACTATAGAGGAATGTTCTGCACATGCAGTAAATTTGTTAGCTAAAGGAGCCCCACAACTTAAATCATTAGTTGCATATCGTATTATTAAAGGACTGGACATGGGAATGGGATACATGGATATAACCTTCCTTAAAGATATGAGATGTCTTAAAAAATTAAGACTAGAGAACGCTGTCTCCAGAGAATTAAGTTTTGATAAAACTTCTGATAAAATAGAACTCAATCTCACATCATTAGCTATCACTAGAGCTGTCAACTTATCGTGTATTGAACACATTCTTCCGCCTACATTAGTGTCGCTAGAATTGGGGGAATGCCATTCTTTGTCATTTAACTTCCCTAAAGATGTCTTACCAAAACTTGTAAACTTGACTAGATTGAGACTGGAGTTGTGCAACAATACTTATCTAGTAATAATGTTAGTAGAAGCAATATCGAAACTACCAAATTTAGCTGAGTTAGAACTCATCAATTTTGAAATTTCAACTGGTTTTGGAAAGGTAATAGCAAAATGCATCAACCTAAAATCACTTCTTATAATTCCATTGTATGGCAAAATTCCTAAACATTTACACCCTCTAATGAATTCATTAATTGTATCTGGGGTATCCAAGTTGAAAAACTCCTTGCAAGTATTTGTTTGGGTAGTAACAGATTCAATGCTTTCTGTTGAAAATGCACGCAGCCTGAGAATTGGTCAAAATCCGGTAAAGGTTAGAGTGATTGGGCGTGGTGATGTTATTCCATTAATTTCAAATAATGGTGCTGGTTTTAGGATAGATTTTATTTCATTGGATAATGTTCAAGCATTATTATTGCAAGATTTGAAATTTAAAGTTTTTAAAACTCCTTTCTCGTCAACATGGAAGCTTTCATTGCATAATATTAGGATGTAAATGAATAATACAATTCATGAAATATCATAACACATGTAAAATGAAAGTTACCTTTGTTAAAAATATTTGGAATTATTAATCCTTGTTCTGGCTATCTTTGTTTCCAAAATCAATATTTTTATCAAAATTCTGGCCTAGCAATGGGAAATTGTCTCGCTGCTGACCTTTCTAGTGTTGTCCTGAACAACTTTCTTGACGCCGTACTACTTCTCTTTCCTAATGCCATCTTCATTGTTTAACGGCAGCAAAAATCATTGGTTTCAAGCATCTCATAAATTCCATTCCTTATCCCCTACTCTACCTCAATGGACTACCTATTAATTTCCATACATCCGTAAAAATCTGATAGTAATTTTTTATAAATACCTCTCCTGGAACCATCATATTTCCCTAATTATCTGAAAGTCTATTGCAACCCAAAAACAGTTCCTGAGATTACGTGATTCTATGCCCCTAAAGACTCGTCAGCTCCTAGTTCCTCCTCTAATTTTTTATAACTTTGATTATGGCTGTCTTGTCTACGGTGGACTGCCTGGAGGGCTTGAGATCAGATTGAGAAGACTGATAAATTTCTTCTGTAGATTCATTTTTGGAGCCCCCAGGTGCTTCCACTTCTCCAGTTGTATGTATGCTGAGTTGAAGTGGTTCTGTCCAGTTTTGCAACGGCAATTTTCCAAGGTGCTTTCCTTTTCCGAACCTTAACAACCAAAAAACCCGCTTACTTTCATGATCTGTTTACTCCTTGCTCCTCAGTCCATTCGTTCAACACGAGATATCAGCCCACAAATCTTTTTATTCCTTCTCATAAGACTGTTTCTTTTAAAAAATCCTTTCTCATATGTGTTACCTTATTCTGGAATTTCTTACGGATCCTCTTCCTTAATCTCATTTAAATTCTATTTATTTTTTCATCTCCTCAGCTCGATGTAATTCCATCTTCCGAATAAATGCAAGAATAATATTTTTGTGTTTTAGAAATGTCAATCTCATTATGCCGTTATCTTATTAGTGTATATTTATTATCTATTGTTTATATGTGAACATGCTCATATATATCTATCTATAACTAAAATGTCAACTAGTGTCTTTCTGTCATTTTAATTTCAAGGCTCGATAACCATGTAATTTAATTAATTCTTGGTCATTTTTTTATGTCATCAAATAGTTTATTGTAATTATTCTGAGGGGACTGAATGTCTCAGAATAAAATTTACTTTTTTTTTTTATCTTTGTTCTTCTAACATTGTACTATGTATTGAACCTAGCTGATAGTAATCTTTTTAACTGAATATGGGCTGCAAAAGACAAAGTTGAATGAAACCGACTTCTGACATCAAAAATAGCATCAATGGAGAGAGCATATAGATAAGGACCGATGGGTCTAGGGAAGGCCGTTCCTTAGATCAAAAAGTAGTAACGGGCTAAGTAACTGGTTCCTTTCAGGGTATTACCAGTTATTGTGAAGCTAAGAATGTAAACCATCCTTGTCCCACTCTGAATTTTTGTATAAAGTCTTCCAAAAGTAAGAAAAGAGGTGTTATGTTTTCTTCCGGCTTGGGGACTGAAGCCTTAACCCTACATAGACCATGAAGATATGCCCCTGGCGGAGTTCAGACCTGGGCTTGATGAGATGACCTCGGATGCAGTGATGAAACTTACCAACTACACCACTTCTTATACAATAGCTAAGTTTTATGCCTAATAATAAATTTACCAATGTTAAAATATTTCATGGCAATAATTCTCAAAACAGTCCATCTGAAATCATACCTGCACAGTCATTATTAAATCATGTTTTTATTTGGTTTATTGTATATAGTATTTGAACATTAAAATTTCTATGTTATTTGTATATTATTCTTTATTAAACAGAAATAAATTAAGTTTTTAGTAAAAGTTATTTTAATTGTGCCACCTATTTATATCATGATGATCACAGGTAATGTTGGTAATTAGAAAGCATGATAAACACAAACCAACCTTTGAGAAAAGAAATTCAATTAATTAATCATAGACCAAATATATTATAGATCCAAATTTGTTCAACTAATCTTTTATTATTAATTTTTATTAAATATTTCTGGGTAATTATCATCAATAATTATCCAATGGCATCCTGAGTAAATTGCAACCCTCCAAAACAACATTTCAGTTGATATAATAAATAGAGTTTTTGTTATTTTGATGGTCTTGAGTTGGAGTTTTAGCATTGATAAATATGACTGACATACAAAAATGTATTCTTCTTTGTAGTGTAGCTCTCTTAAAAAAACACTTAACAATTTTAGCCCTATTTTATTTGACAATTTCAGTTCAAATTAGAGCAGCTGAAAATTGTGTGGTACATGCACCAGTTTTTTAAAATTGTTTTCATTATATTATAATTTTATACCTTGTTTACATCAGTTATAGATTTAAAAAATCCTTAGTTGAATAATTGTTAAAATAAATAATGTTAAATTAAAAAATTCATTAATTTTAACAATAGAGTGTACTTTTATAATATATAGCCACAATTGTTTTGTTGTAGTTTCTTCTTCTGTTGTATTTTGTCTTTTTTTTTTTCTTGTTTTATCTTACCTGCATTTGTGCGATGATCAATGTTTTGTCATTTCAGTGGTATTTTAATTAATTGCCAAACGTTATCTTAAAAAAAATGTAACAACAATAATGTCAAAACAACAAAGTAAATTTATGATTAAACAATATTAAGTATAATCAGAAAACCTTTTACTCTTCAGATTAATGTTTTTAATAGCTTAAAACTATATCAACACAAAATGGAGTGTTTTGTATAAATACATGTCTAAATTAGTAGTTTTCACAGCTAGTGGTTACAAACAAATTATGAGCTATTCTTTAACTTAATAGTGTGGTAGGTAATATATATTTTAATAAACGTATGCTTATGCTATTCATGAAATAATGAATTATCATTTATTTTAGGGTCATAATTGCAACACTGAACATGGCCCTAATTTCATTGATGATGCTGACAAAGCTTATATAGTCCTCCTTAATTTGTTTTGATTCCTTTCAACAAAGAACCTGCTCAAAGCAGCACAGGTTTGCAAAGTGTGGAATCTAGTTGGGTCTGACAAGATCTTTTGGAAGAGAATAACTTTAAATAACTGTGTAGTACATGACATTGATATGATGGTTCGAACCCTCAAGAAGCATGAGACTGAAATATTACATTTGGTGGGAATTAGCCTCTTCAAGACAGAAACCGAAGAATATAGGTTTGATCATATTTCTAAAGAGGAGCGACATAAATGGTTAAGTCTTTGCAAAGCATTAACTGAAGTCACCACCTTGACTCGGGTATTTATGAGGGGATGTCCTGATAGTGCAGTGATGTTGTTATCTAGAGGAGCTCCACAACTTACATCATTATCTATATATCATGAAAATCCAGCAGACTCGTCAAAAGAATATATAGAAGAGAGGCAATAGATCCTTGCAGCATCAGTATTTTGTGACGTATATTGTCCTGACTCTGAATTGACCTCAACCTCACAACCTCACAATCATCTTTTCATCTATTGAACACGTTCTCCCGTTCACTGGAAAATTTTAAAAACTTGTCACTCTTCTACATGGAAGATTTCTCTCCATAGTATTACCATGTGAAGTAATATTATACATTAGTTAATGAAAATATATAATCCATATATATTTATTACTCTTATTTCTATAGATCTGTTCAATAAATTTAAAATGAAAGTTACCATTCGGTTCTGAATAACTTGAATTATTGGTCCTTGTTTTCTGTTCCAGCTACATCCTTATGAAAAAACACTTCTTCAAATTGTTTTCCTATACATAGGTTTTTATTTTATTTATTCATCCTTGATTGTAATAGCAATATCTGTCTCCTACTTCCTTTATGCCCGCCCTAAATTTTTGTTTCTCGAATCTCAATCCATTCTTCATGACTTGGTAGTAACTATTATATATATTAAATTCATTTATGAATATGATAAACTTGTTCAAAAGGTCTTACGAACCTTAAAAATGTGAGACAGGAACAGAAAGGCAAATATATAATATTTCAAGTCTCAATGTCTGGATGATCCAAGACACATTTCCTGCCAATGTAAAATATTGAAAAAATAAGGAAGAATAAGTTTAGGGTCATAAGCTGTGGATGATAGTGTTGTGTTAGCTTTCTTTTTTTGTTAAGATAATGTCTGTAGATTTGGACCATTTTTAAATGAAATAAATGTAGGTGCGTTTTATATATATTTTATAGTACGTATAGATATATAAGCCCCTTATGCTCATTTAATTTATACAAAACTCATAAGTTAATTAAGTTTTAAATCTTTAAGTTCAAGTTACCCACAAAGCCGCCAGAATACCCATCCTCTTACCGTCCTATCTCTCTTTTACCCATTATGGGCAAAATCCTAGAAAAACTCATCTTAAAACGCCTGTATCCCATCCTAGATTCTAATAACATAATCCCAGATCACCAATTTGGATTCCGTACATCTCACTCCACTATTCCGCAATGTCATCGTGTGGTAGACGTGGTTTCCTCTGCATTGGAGCGCGGAATGTACTGCACGGGAGTCTTTCTCGACGTTGAACAGGCGTTTGATCGAGTCTGGCATCCGGGGCTGATGTACAAACTCCGTAAATTCCTACCACCTACATACTTCCTCATTATCCGTTCCTACCTTAGTGATAGATACTTCAAAGTAAATCACAAAAATGCCTGTTCATCTCTTTTATCTCAATTTGCTGGTGTTCCTCAAGGTAGTATCCTAGGCCCTATCCTTTACACAGTTTATACAGCTGACATTCCAACCCATCCCAACACTGTCATTACCACCTATGCCGATGACACATGTCTCCTATCAGTTAACAGCGATCCATCAATTGCATTCCAAACTCTCCAATCACACATTACAAATCTTGAAGAATGGTGTCAAAACTGGAGGATTAAAATAAACTCCAATAAATCCCATCAAATTACCTTTACCCTGCGTCGC